ACAAACAAAAAAAAAAACAGTCATGCAGAAACATGCTTGTCCTTCATGTAGTTTATTATACATTTACTTCAGTTACAACTTTTTTTTGAATTAAGATTTTACACAAAGTCTGCTTAAGAAATACCCGACGCCTCTTTGACAGTTTACATTTCTATGCCTCTGCATAGGTGACAGCCGTGGCTGGAAAAATAATTCAACCGTACAATTCAATTCATTTGTATAGCACCAAATCATCTCAGCACACTGCATAGTAAGGTCTGGATCTTATCAGTAAAAACCCCAACAAATCCCCCTTGAGCAAGCACTTGGCGACAGTGGAGAGGAAAAACTCCCTTTACTTTTACAGGACAAAACCTTTATAGGAAGAAACCTCCGACAGACCCCGACTCAAGGTGGGCGGCCTTCTGCCTCGACCGGTTAGGGTGAATGGGTAGTTTTCATAGTCATCACTCCTGTCATTCTTATCATGGAAAATAAGGCAAATACACTCAAAGTGAGTGTCTGAGTTTATTTCATCATCTGAGTTGTCAGTCTCTGCCAGGCTTCCTCCCTCCCAAGAACCCCAAAACACACTGACGGTCTGTATCGCAGCTACCGTGCAGAGGTCTGACAACAATCCCATCTACGTATGAACCTGCTAAACGTATCCCTACATCAGCGATAATACTTTACAGGGGTAGGATACATTCCCCTGCTGGGAGGCCTCCCATGTCCGCAAAATTTAATAAGCACACGAAACGCAAAACTCTCCCTCCCCAGTCTAGTTGAAGCGCGAGTCTCCCCTTGAAACTTGGCAGAGTGAGACAACTCAGAAATTTAACCCTAAAGTAAAATAGTTATTTGGGCAGTGATGATTTAGAAAACAGCACAACTACACTTATCAAGACAGGCTTACAACATGTCACAGCACAACTTCATGTGTATGTAGAATCAATCTAACCACTAAGCCTGTCCAGGTTCTTCCACCATTTAATGATGGAAAAATGACCTAGTTTTGTGCAACTCTGTGGTACAGTTCTAAAATTCAAACAAAGTCTTCAAATAGAGTCAAAGAACTCTGACAACTAGGCCAGAGGAAAGGTTACAGTTCAGTAGCTGCCGTCATCTCATCCAAGGCAGAGGTGGACTCA